GAAGAGCTTGGGAGAACGATTCTCACCTCCAAACCGCGAAGAAGGGGGCCTCTTGCAGCCACCCTCCAGCCCACAGAGACTCCCCACGAGGCAGCTTTACTTTCACCAAGCAAGTAGCTTTGGGTGGATACTCCAAACCAGGGGCGGAGGTCACAGAGCTCGCTCTAGACGCTTCCCTAAGCCAGGCTCAGGCCTTAAACCCAACCCGCTGCAGGAAGGCGGGCCTCCATAAATGCATTCATTCCAGGACACCTCACTACCCGGCCTGCACCTTCAACTTCCCAATTATCCTATCTGTGTGACGGCGTCCAGCGCCCTGCACACAGTAGGCGCTCAGACCACCTCACTTCCCCGCCCCCTGCTTTCTTTGCTGGAGCCAACCACGCTTCAGCGATTCTGGCTCCCCCTACTGGCGGTCGCAGTAACGACCTGAGCCGGCACGGGCTCCAAAAAGCATATTCTTTAAGCTATTTTAAAAAAAAAAAAAAAAAAGGCAACCATTGCCTTGGAGTCGGATCCGACTCATAGCGACCCCTCCTTGGGTTTCCAAGCCAGTATCACTACGGAAGATTGCCCAACCTTCCTTCCGGGGAGTGGCTGGTGGGTTTGTACTGCGAACCTTCTGGTTAGCAGTCAATGCCTTGGGCACTAGGCCACCAGGGCTCCCTCTTTAAGCTATAGGGGACACTAACCACTCTGCCCATCCCGAACTCATCCCTGCCTCTGGCCAAAGTTGCTTGGCGAGAGGCTGCCAGGAAGATCTTATTTTCCTATAATTGTATCCTAAATGCAAGCATAATGAAAAATGCATTCATTTGCTAAACAAACATTTACTGAGCACTCACTCCAATATTAATCAGCACAGCTAACACAGTTTGAGCACTTACTACATATGAGATATTGTTGGTGTCTTTTCCATGTGTTATCTCATCTAATCCTCCTAACAACCCTAACAGGGTGTCTGATATGATTCCCACTTTGCACTTGAAGACAACCAGGTCCAAAGAAGCATGCCCAAGGTTACAGCTGGTAAGTGGCTTTGAACCTGGGTCCTCTGGCTGCAGAGCCCAAGCTTATAAGCACTACATTACACCATGCAATACTGTGATAGAAAACTGTAAGACATGGAGGATGGCTTCATAGCATCTCTTGTTTTCCAATGTCCCTGGGTATTTCCTCATAGAAAAAGATTAATGTTCCATCTAGAGAGAAATTATGGGGTTTTCCTGGCTGGGGCTGTTATTCTAGTGAGGTAGTGTGCACATGTGTGTGCATTGCTTGTCGCACCAGCAGTTACAAGAATAAGATGGTTTCCTCACATTGTGAAGTGGAGGTGAAATAGAGATAACAACGTGCAAATCATCACCACTTTGAGATTCCTACCCTTATCCCTTAAAATTGTACTTCCTTCCAGAAGAAGGAGAATGAGGCTGGGTGGTCAAATAGTTTGCAGTTGCCAGCTAACCTAAAGGTTGGCAGTTCAAACCCACACAGCAGCACCACAGAAGAATGGCTTTGTGATCTATTTCCATAAAGATGTAGACAAACAAACAAAAAACCTATGAAGTAGTTCAACTCTGTCACATGGGTTGCCATGAGTTGGAATCAACTTGACAGCAACAGGTAAGGTCTAATGGCCTGTCTGCCATTCTTAAAGAAACTAGGAACCCTGAAGAAGCCTGATAGACCTCTCTTTGCCACTTTCCCCAAAGTGAATCACATTCTTAATGATCCTCTCTGTTCCCACTGACCTTGAATGAGCTCTAGTCACCTCTCTCACCATGAGTCTGGCACCGCTTTGGTGTGGGGTGATAATTTCTGTGATGAAGGTACACTGGGTGAAATGTTAAGGAGTAACCACCCACTTTGGGAAAAGTGAGAGAGCCATGGACCCCAGTCCAAGAATCCAAGAATCTGAGAGTGAAGAGAGGCCTTGGAGACCAGCTAATCTATCATTTATCCAACAGG